AATAATGTCATTCAATTCTATCTCAATAATGAGGATGTATCTTTGGGGTTTTATTCCATTATGAATTCCTATTTTATGTGTAGTAAAAAGCAAACAGAATTGTTGTTAGAAAACATTGCACACAATAAAATTTGAGTGACAAGCATATTTGAGTAAATTTCATCTATGTCTACCATAAACAGTACTGAGGAATATTAGACTTAATACAAGTATGTGAATAGCTTAGGAAAAAATGTCTTCTATAAGAGGGATGAAAAATCATGATCATGGTCTTGATTGCTATTATCAGCTTTCATATGCAGTTAAAAAAGTCATTTCTTCCAACTTTTGATCTAAAGAAAAGCTTTTTTTGAAATTGAGCTCTGATGTAAATTATTTTAGTATTTTCTCTAAGGCACTTCTAAGTCCCTGAATTGCTAATGATATCCTTATCTTCCATTTATCAAATTGCTTCTAAACTTCAGATAAGAGAACCCCAACCTTCTCTTTTCTAAAAAAAAAACTATCAATATGAAAATGTATAGAAATTATGGAAAACAATTCAGTGAAACTTTTTGTAAGTGTTAAAAGAGCATCTATGAAATCTATGTATTAATTATAGGATGTGCCGTAACATTGTAAGCTTGTTGTCAGTGATGAAATGGAAGTATGTTGACATATTCACGCTCATAAAGCATTATTAATAAGTTTATATGAAATAACAATCATAGAGTGAAAAAAGATTAATATAATTTATTGAAGTAAAAATACATTTTGAATAAGAATAGAAAAGGGCTTGGAAAATATTGTTTAATAACATTTTATGTAAATACAAAAATGTTTATATTAGCCTGACATTACTTATTTTGGAAAGTATATGACACAATGGAAATTTTCATACACTACTCCTGGGAGTTCCATAAATGTGTGCCATCATTTCAGCCGAGTATGGTATTATCTGATTACGATGAAGGACCACATCCTAAGATCCAGTATGGACACTCTTATCAGAATGCATATACATACACATGCATATCACTGAGTTTCAGTAGCTCAAGTTGAGAAATCCTCCAAATGTCTACCAGTCCTCTCAATGGATAAACAAACTGTGGCATACTTATACAATGGAATGCTGTACAGCAATCAAAATTAACAAATAAGACTGACATGTTTACAACAGAATAATAC